TGAGGATGCTCTCTGTCCAGACTCCTTCCGTCTGAGGGTGCACGAGCCTCTGAAGGACAAACTCGTGCACGTGTAACCACTGTGAGGTGTCTTCTTGCTGAAATGATGCTCTGGAGCTTATCAGCTTGTACCACAGGTTGATTCCCTGTTAAATAACAAAAGACTGTGGTTCATGTGCCTCATGTTAATCCCCAATTCTGCAGTGAGGATAAAATAAAATACAATGATCGTATAGTGGTATAATAATCCAACTATTAACTAAAACTAAAATATAACAGAAACTAACCCAAACTGTATAAGAAATACAAAATAACATATAACCCCAAATATATACAAATGAACTACTAACATGGAAAAATAATAAAGCTAGGTCCATGTAGTTACCACTTTTTAACAGCAGGTGGCAGCCATTTCAGCAGCAGCAAAAATGTTCCTCTTTAGGAACATGTGGACCAGCAGCACATCTTCACATTGAAAAGGTTCCCTGTAAGGTACATATGGACCAGCAGCACATCTTCACATTGAAAAGGTTCCCTGTAAGGTACATATGGACCAGCAGAACTGTTCACATTGAAAAGGTTCCCTGTTAGGTACATATGGACCAGCAGAACTCTTCACATTGAAAAGGTTCCCTGTAAGGTACATATGGACCAGCAGAACTGTTCACATTGAAAAGGTTCCCTGTTAGGTACATATGGGACCAGCAGAACTCTTCACATTGAAAAGGTTCCCTGTAAGGTACATATGGACCAGCAGAACTCTTCACATTCCTCATGGTCTGGTCCTCAACATGAGGACCAACGGAACGTATGCGCTGCACTGAGCCGGATCAATGCACCCCAGGCTGTTGGGCTGATGGGATCCCCAGGCGCAGTGACTGCGGTCCTGACTGACATCTTTAACCTGTCATGGCTCATGCAGCTGTCCACGGGCTTTAAAACTCCCTCCGCGCGGCCGGTGGCAAGACACTTCCAAAGCACCGAGCCTCAATGCTTTCACCCTTTTGCACTCGCCCCTTCCATCATGAAGTGCGTCGAGAAGCTGGTCGTGGCTACCTCAAATCCTGTTTTGCCACCCACACTGGACTCGTACAGTTCGCCATCTCCGCGGCACTTCACTGCTTTCTCACCTGAACAATGACACATATGTGAGAATGCTGTTCATAGACTTCAGTTCAGCATTCAACACCATCATCACCTCCAAAGTCAGGGATCTGGACATCAACTCCTCCATCAGTATCCGGATACTGCACTTCCTAACCAACAGACCCCAATCTGTCAGGTTAAAGAACCACACCTCCTCAACCCTCATCCTGAACACCGTGTCCCACAGGGCTGCTGAGCCCCCTCCTCTACTCCCTCTTCACCTACACCTGCACACCTGTACATAGTTGCTGCGTTCAGACCAAATGCGAAGCAAATTTTCGCCACACTTTACTCGCACGAGTTGACTCGCCCGACTAAATGTAGTTATTTCGCTTCATTCGCCTGAGAGGACGCCTGAAGGGGGCGTGGCTTATCTCCATGACTTGTCTCTGTAAAGACAGTTATAATAATTTCCGCTATCCAGCACAGAAATAATGAACCACTATTTCTGCTCTTTAATTGTTGCGTGAATTACACAAACGTCAGAACCACAAATGGTGTTTGGGTTCAAGGCACCATCCGTTGCAGCACACAGCTTGGCGCACTTCCAGGCGTCTTATGTCCGTCTTATTGCAATTTTCCGACCATTTTATGCCACTGATAACATAATGGCAACATAATAGCATAGTAATACAAGTATGCTTTTTTAAAGAACAAAGAACGTTTTATTCTTTCAGAATAGTTAGACGTTGGAATCGAGTGAATATAACCCCAAAAATAATAAGTGCAAGGGACACAGAGCGGGCCAAGCATCAGGGCTTGGTGCGATGCGGTCGGGTTCAGGCGCAGTAGCCGGGGCGGTTTGACCGGCGGCAGGGTGACGCGCTCCGTGGCTGCAGGGAGAGACGGAGCGGCCCGGGAGGACCTAAAAACTAGGAACTAACTTCCGGCAAGGAAGCGGCCCAGGGACGTCGCCCTGCGTTCCTCCCGGCCAAAGAGCCGAAGGAGCAGTCCTGAGGTTCCTCAGGTTGGGTTGGGTTACGCTGCATAAGCCCCGCCTCCGCTTCCGACAAGGAAAACGGACAGAGGCAACTTAAATGGCGCGGAAAGCTTACATCCAGGACATGGTCAAACCCTACATCCCAACCCGCACTCTCCGCTCTGCATCTGCAAAACTACTCGTCCCTCCCTCACTGAGAGCAAAACACTCGACTAGGTCTCCACTCTTCGCTGTCCTTGCGCCGAAATGGTGGAACGAGACTCTACCTCGACTAAAGACTAACAAATTGTAGCACTTAAATTGTACTTGTAACGTCACTCATCTATAGCAAATTGTGAATTGGCTTATTTGAGGAAATTGCACTATCTTGTTTTCTTGTATTCCTGAGTTTGTACCGTATGGTTGAATGCACTTTATTGTAAGTCGCTTTGGGATAAAAGCGTCCGCTAAATGACATGTAATGTAATGTAATGTAAATGTTGGTCATGTTCATTTATATGTAAAATGAATATCGCAACACCAAAAAGGATTGCACTCGATTCCAGATAGTGTGCGATAAGTCCATTTATGGCACGCGACAGGCCGTTCATAAGTGTATTCACGCTTTTGGCAGCAGGGCGGCGGTGATGACGAGCGGAGCAGCTCAACGCGTCCTTCGCGCTGCCTGTTGAAAATGTGCTTCCTCCACAGCCAGTCGCGTCTGTGCATTGACATTTCATGGAATCTACTTGCGCAAATAATGCGCTTTGCTTTTGGTGTGAACGCAGCATAACAACATTGTCAAGTTTGCAGACGACACACGCCGATTGCCATATTTGGACAATTATGCTCTATTTGCATAACTATACCCCATTGCACTACCATGTGATTCATGTTTACAACCTTGCTGCTTAATGTATATTTTACACTGTACATATTCTCTTATTTATATATACCACATAGATATACTGTGCACTTTATCTGCTCTCTTTCTGGTTAGATGCTAAACTGCATTTCGTTGTCGCAGTACCTGTACTGTGTGCAATGACAATAAAGTTCAATCTAAAGCCTTCACACTGAAAAGGTTCCTCTTTAGGAACGTGTGGAGCAGCAGAACTCTACACATTCATAAGGTTCCTCTTTAGGAATTGAAATGGTTGCTTAATTAAAGTGAAATCGGCAGATTTAAATACATAAAGTATTAATAATTGTGTTACTGAAAAAGTTGTAACCAGTGAATGTGCACATAGAAACACAAACACACACACACTAAGACCTAGACAAATATACACACACTTTGAACATCATATTCTCCATATTATACATCTTATTATTAAATTACATGATTTATATTATATGATAACTGACATAATAGGTTCTGTGATCAATTATAGATATTATAGATAAGGAAAATGCATATTTGGTGGATTGATAAATGGTGATGTACTGTATATATACAACGTATAATTTACATCATATTATATACATCTTATAATTGTATTAGGATTTATACATATAAATAATAATACAATTATACACGCTACTGCCCCCATCAGGTGACCAGAGGGACACCAGCTGACTGAATCCTCAACATCATCATCATCAGAACACGGAGAACCCGTCAGCAGAACCAGAGCAGTACTGCAGTACTGATGAAAAGTCAGCACCGAGTACAACATTTCTCATTGATTATAAAGATCTCATATCAATATCTACTTATCAATTATTTAATTACAATAAATATGAACACATACAACACAGTCAACAATGAGTACTAGCATTTGAGTAATACATCTACTGCGTCTGTACTGTCTGTTGTACAAAAACACACATCTGCTGCGTCTGTACTATCTGTTGTACAAAAACACACATCTACTGCGTCTGTACTATCTGTTGTACAAAAACACACATCTACTGCGTCTGTACTATCTGTTGTACAAAAACACACATCTACTGCGTCTGTACTATCTGTTGTACAAAAACACACATCTACTGCGTCTGTACTATCTGTTGTACAAAAACACACATCTACTGCGTCTGTACTATCTGTTGTACAAAAACACACATCTACTGCGTCTGTACTATCTGTTGTACAAAAACACACATCTACTGCGTCTGTACTATCTGTTGTACAAAAACACACATCTACTGCGTCTGTACTATCTGTTGTACAAAAACACACATCTACTGCGTCTGTACTATCTGTTGTACAAAAACACACATCTACTGCGTCTGTACTATCTGTTGTACAAAAACACACATCTACTGCGTCTGTACTATCTGTTGTACAAAAACACACATCTACTGCGTCTGTACTATCTGTTGTACAAAAACACACATCTACTGCGTCTCGACTAAACAAGCAGTCAATGAAGCAGTCAGTAACTCCTATGCTGTTCAATGAGAAACGTCCTATTTTACTTCATCTCTTGAGAATGCTGGGTTCTATTCTACTATGTTCTACTGGGTTCTACTATACAGGGTTCCACTGGGTTGTACTCTACTAAAATCTACTGGGTTCTACTTCATTTATATGTATATTTCTTTATTTTCAGTAATTCTGTATTTTCAGTATTTCCTTATTTGTAGTATTTCTATATTTGGATTTAAAGTTTTCCTTTCTTGGCAGTATCTGTTTTTCAGTATTTCTTTATTAGCATTATTCCCCGTACAGTATTTCTGCATTAGTAGTGTAGTACTTTGAGTACTTGCAGTATTCTTGAGAGAAACTTCTGTCCAAATGAAAGTTCTTCTTCGCTTTTCTTAAAACCGGTCAGAAGAGAAGAAGAAGAAGCGGGAGGAAGAGGAGGAGATTTTCTGCTGGAAACTTAAATGCCGACGCACAGCCCCCCCCCCCCCCCCGCCTCAGGCTTCTTCTCTGAGGTAGACCCGGACCCCCTTTGCCCCAAAACCCGGTCCCCTTCGTTTGCGCTTACCTTTGAAGGTGTCCGCCCACGCGCCCGTTAGTCCCAGTGAAACCAGCGCGAGGGACGCAGAGATCAGGAAAGTTCTGGTCCGCTCCATTTTCACAGCGAGACCCTCCGGAGCGAGAGGGAAAAGTAGAGGCAACTCCCGACTTCTTCCTCCTCTTCTGTGGCCTCCTGTCTGTGGCTCTCACACACTCACACGGGAGACAGGCAGGCAGGCAGACACACGGGCAGACAGACAGGCAGACAGACAGGCGGTTGGCGCTCTTCAGTCTGTCCGGTTTCTCGCCCGTTTTTTTTCCTCCGTGTCTCTTCGGACCGGAGAGAGACTGACTCTGTTTACCGAGCAGCCGCTGACGTCACAGGGGGCGAGCGACGTTTGGGGGGCAAAGAGAAAGAGAGAGAGACTTTTTCCTCTCAATTTCTAAATTAAATATACCACCTATCCTACTTTTCTATCCTTTATATTTCTAATAATCACTGATATCGAACTTTTATATTTTAGCATGCAGTTGTGTTCTTAATCTTAAAATGTTTTGATGTGATATTTTTGCATTTGCATATGAGCTCGTAACAGTAATATTTGTCACCTAAATCCACACGTTATTGTATTCAATTTCAGGTTCGTCACATTTAAGTCTGAAATAATTAAAGGTTCTTTAAAGAGAAGCAAATCAATGCTTAAGACCGAGAAAGGGTGGAGGCAATGCCTCCACCTGCCGGTCTACTTGATCCATGTTGGAGGGACGAAGCTGCCGCCTGCTGGTCTGCTTGATCCATGTCAAACAGAACCAAACTGCACTCATTGTTACGGTTACTTGGATTTATGCAACTCTTTTTCTGCTGTATCTTCCAAAGGCTATTTTGTGTGCATTTGTTTGTTTGTGTTTGTTGGTTGTGTTGTGTTGTTTGTTTATGCTATTGTGCTTGAGTGCTGCTTCAGTGTTTCGGGCAAGGTGCTTTCTTCATTTGTTACTCTGAGCTGTCACCTGCTGGACAATGTGAGATATGACAGCCTGATGAAGATGATTTTTATTTCAATTATTATTCATAATAATGATAAAAAAAATTGTACTTATTTAATTTAACCTTTATTTAACCAGGTAAAAGTCCCATTGAGATCGAGATCTCATTTTCAAGGGACCTTTACCAGCACATACACATACTTTTTTAAGATCAAGTGCTTCAAATATATCATTTAAAACTTTCAGGGCGGCGGTGACTGTACTGTGTTGCTTCCTAAAGCCAAAATGGAAATTATTTAGGATACTATTAGTATCTAAGAAATCTATTAATTGTTCGCTAATTATTTTTTCAAATATTTTGTCAAATTGTCAAATAACAATGCATAACTTCGAAATAGGCCTGTAGTTATTTACATCAGATGGGTCACCCCCTTTTAACAGGGGAAGGACAAAAGCGGATTTCCAATGTTTTGTAAGTATATTAGTGCTGAGACTGAGATTGAAAATGTGAGTCAAGGGATCAGCTATTTGATTTGCAGCCAACTTCAAGAAGATGGGGTCCAATTGATCAGGACCAGCTGCTTTTTTAACATCCAAGCTGGACAGGGCTTTCCACACCTCAGATGTGGACACAGATTCAAAATAAAATACATTCTGAGTTGGGCTATTTACAGCCTCATCTTTAGACTCCTTTCCCATATCAGAATGTAATTGATTAGGGTTTTCCTTATCAAATAAATGACCCACAGAGACAAAGTGCTTGTTGAAAAAATGTAGCATTGACAAGTTGTCAGTCAAATTGACAGAGCAATGCACCAAGAGATTTGGTAGTTCCTTTTGCTGAGCAACACCAGATGTCGACTTTACCACCTTCCAAAATGTCTTTGGATCATTTAGATTTCTTGTGGTTTCTGTTAGATAGAACTCAGCTTGTGCCTTCTTAATCGTGGACGTGCATTTGTTACGCAGCTCGTGATGCCAGTCGTTGTCAGATTTTGTTTTCCGTGCTCTAGCCCATGCAGCATCTCTGTCTTTTAAAAGATTTCCAATTTCTTGATGAAACCAGGGATTATTTCGCCCTTTCACGCTAAATTTCCGAAAGGCAGCATGTTTATTTATTAGATTCAGGAAATTATCATGAAAATAACTCCAGGCAATTTACACATCACCAAATAGGGAGATCCTATTCCATTTACAGTGATACACATCATGAATAAAAGCTTGTTCATGAAACTGTTTAAAATCTCTCTTGCATACAATGCTTGTTCTTCGAGAGTTTAGCATCTCTAACCACTGCGATGGTAGAGTGATCACTCAGATCATTCGCAAAGACACCTATATTACTGTACTTATGAGGTACTTTGGTCAGAACAAGATCAAGAAGTGAGGATCTAGCTGGAAATGTTATGTTGGGCCGGGTTGGCCTATCAATGAGCTGAGTTAGATCCAGAGAATCACAGATGCTTTTTAGGCTCTCTGAAGTTGGGGATAACCAGTCATAGTTTAAGTCCTCCACGAGAACAATTTCACTCGAGTTAAATCCTGCCACATAGTTAGAAAGAGTTGAGAGGGCCTCACTGCAGGCCGACGGGGGTCTATAACAGCACATGATTATAAAAGACTGGCCGTGAGAGAACTCAGGTTTTAAAGCAAGCAATTCAAATTGTTTAGTTAAGGATATAGAGGTGACGGGTGTGGCCTGAAATTTCTTTTTGATGTAAATGGCAACACCTCCTCCTTTCCTTTCCGATCACAACGAAAGACATTGTAACCACTGATAGAAATGTCCTTATCAGGAATATTTTTATTCAGCCATGTTTCTGATAATACAAGTAAATCAGTATCGGTTGTCTGTATCCAGATTTTAATTAAGTCGATTTTTGGGAGTAAACTCCTAACATTTATGTGGATAATCCCGAGTCCAGACCGTGCCCTAAATTCATCAGGCGTATCAATAGTATATAATGGAGGGCCTGGGTTTGGCTGGATGTTGCCTGATAATAAGAGTAGAAGTAGAATAAAACACTTCCTCTTAACCACTGATGTTTTAACAGTGGTTAAGAGGAAGTGTTTTATTCTACTTCTATTTCTAATGATAAGAATAATGAATTATCATTATTATTGTAACAATATTCCCATATTCTGATACTCTTGGATCTTGTGATGCTTAAACAGACCAAATATCACAGAAATTCTGCAAATGAGTCCAGAATGATGTCACTGTTTATTATACAAAACCAAATATCTGTTATATACAAACATCTAAATCATTTAACATTACATTTATAGGTCATTTAGCTGACACTTTTATCCAAAACAACTTACATTGCATTTTTAATGCATTGCTTTTTGTTACATCTTTGCCTGGGGAGCAATTAGGGTTAGGTGTCTTGTTCAGGGACACTTCAACACATCTTCTCTACCCATGCGCCGCTCTAACCCGCCCTTAGGTAATTGAACAGGGCGCTGAGCCCCCCCCCCTCCAGCACCTCCTTCACAGGTTTTATGAGTGGGTTATGGACGATGTGGAGTCCTTTGTCCAGAGGATGGCAGGCCAGCTTCTCCAGGTGGGACAACTGGTGCAACTCCTGAGAACATTTGTTACTGGTTTAATCAATAACAACACCAGATGGTCTCTGAATGATTCAACGTTTACCTGTGGGACGTCTTTAATGTCGTTAAAGTCCAGATTCAGCAGCTCCAACCTGAGAGAGGTCAAACCAGGTGAGAGAGGATCAGTGCATGTGTGTTTTGGCAGGTAGAGGTGGTGTCACCTGATAGACGTTATCTTGAAAGAGTGTTACCTGGGCCCTGTTCCTCGTACGTGGTGAAGTATTCAAAAATGAAGAAACACCTGCAGGGGGCTGTCAGTCTTTAACATGATTATAGGATTCATTTAATTTTATTTTGTATTGCACAATATCGCAAATTAGCCTCATGTGTCTTTACAGTCTGTACACATGTGACATCATCTGTCCAGAAACCTTCACATCGACAGGAAAAACTCCCCAAACAATGAAAAAGTATTTGATGGGAAGAATAAAGGGAGGAAACCTTTAGAGACACAGGACGATCCTCCAGGGACGGACAGACTGATGGACGTACAGAATGAACAACGTAAAATATGTATAATACATTAAATTCATCCTACAGAAATGATTCAAATTAACATTAAATGAACATATTATCTCATCATATGTGTTCATTATCATCTCGTGCTCCTCAGTGGAGGAAAAAGACGCTCTTCCTTTAGGTTTATTTGCCTTTATACTGTTAAAAAGTCCTGGTTTCGATGATGGACTCTTCTGCCTTCTAACGTAAGGCGATTATCCTGATGATTGACATCTGGTTCAAACCAACGAGTCGTTTGAGCGCTGATCCGCCTTCGAGGAACCGAGATAGCCTGATGTCAATCATCTCGGTAATTTGAGCTGGATAATCGGACATTTGATCGACTTAGTTGAACCACGTACGAGGAACAGGGCCCAGGTGTTACTTGGTGTGGTGATGTTACCTGGTGAGACAGCACAGGGCCTTTGGGAGAGAGTGAAGGCTGTTTCCCTCCACAATGAGGATCTTGAGCTCCGCCAGATTCTGGATGTTCTCCGCCAGGTTCTCCAGACAGTTACAAGCCAGATGGAGGAATACCTGCAGATACAGAGGAGGTGATCCATCCATCCCTCCGGCCCTCACCCAGGGAACCAAACCAGAGATCCTTGGAAGTTCTCACCAGCTGCTAAAGGTCAAATGCACTCACCAGAGCCTTCATGTTGTATATGCATCCCGGGAGGAGGGCCATGTGGTTCTGGCTGAGGTTGAGCTTCCTGAGGCGGGTCAGCTTGGAGAGCGACTCAGGAAGAGAAGACAGCTGGTTGTTGTTCAAGCTAAGAACCTGACAGATAGAAGTTCAGATGATGGAGACTCAGAAGAGGTTCGGATGCATTCGGACTGTCCAAGCATTCGTACCGAGGCTTTAGAGGTCGTCTATGTGTGTTTTCAATGTGTTATCAATGTGAAAATATTGTCAGTAGTACTACCAGATGTATTCTCAGTACTACTCTTAGTAGTATTCTCTGTAGTTCTCTCAGTAGTTTCCAAACACCGCTGCCAGGATCCTGATGAGAGGGAATATGAGACCATAACATCCATCCCACTCTCACTACACTGGCTTCCTGTCTCATTCCAGATCTACCACGAAGTCCCGATACCCACCCATCAATGCATCAATGGACATGCACCTCCCTACCTACAAGAACTCATTACTCCTCAGATCTCCACCCGAACTGTCAGATCCACAAGCAGCTCGCTCCTTCGGGTCGCCAACACCAAGCTCCACACACAGCGCCACCACACAGGGAGACCGGGGCTTCCCTCTCCCTGACCCCGTAGACCCAGACACTGGGCCCTTTTAAGACTGAACTAAAAAAACTCAGAAGTATTCACCTCCAGCTGTGTACAGGCCCCCAGCTCCTCAGGAACGTCACTCAGTCGGTTTCTGTAGGCAAACAAAACCCTGAGTCTCTTCAGCTGACCGATCTCTGCCGGCAGGCGGCTAAGCTGTACACAACAAAAAACAACAATAAACATAATCAACATGTCAAACACCACAATGAATAAAGTATGAATGTGTTTAGTGTGAAGGAGAGGACGGAGGAGAGTAACTGGATCCTGGTGGATTAAAGTGGGATTATGATCTTTATTCATCCAAAGGACAGACCAGCTGTCGGGTGGGGGGACACTGCCTTGCTCAGCGGCTCACTGACAGAGTTTAACCTGTTAAGACTGTATAAAGATTAGTTTGTCCTTGTCAGTGGAGTAACACTTTTACTCAAATCAGTGTTGGACTACTTAAATTGAAAGTATCTCAAATGTGAATTTAAGTACATACATACATGTTATTCAGAAGAGTGTTGATGTATAGTTCAGCTGTTAATGGACCCAGAACAGAACCCTGAGGAACCCCTTTACTAACAAGTCTCTCTTCAGGTACGTTTTTTACTGTGATTCTTCACTTCCTTCTTCATATCTTTATTTACTTACTTACTGGTATTTTCATGTGTAATAACCTTCTGACGGAGGTTTACCTGGTTACCCCACAGGTTGAGAACCACCAGGTTAGAGAGCAGAGCCAGCTGAGGAGGGAGAACCTTCAGTCTGTTCAGAGACAGATTCAGCTTCTCCAACTCCGACAGCTCCCATAGCTCCTCTGGAAGGTCCTGTAGGAGAAGAGGGACTCATTCTAAGTGTAGAACCACCAAGGGTTCTTCTCCTGGGGAAAGCTGAGGAAACCCTATATGCCCCTTCTACTTGTATGTTCCTAGAGAAGCTGTAGAACCCATCTCCGCTCTCTTCACTGGCTACCGGTGGCCTTCCGCATCCAGTTCAAACATTGATGCTCACGTACCATGCTGTGAATGGATCGGGTCCAGCATTCATCCAGGACATGGTCCAACCCGACATGCTCTCATTGAGGAGTAAAACACTCGACTAGATCACCACTCTTTGCTGTCCTTGCTCCGAAATGGTGGAACGAGCTCTCTGAAGACATCAGGACCGCAGAGAGCCACAAACTAAAGACACACCTCTTCAGACTCTACCTCGACTAAAAGACTAACAAATTGTAGCACTTACATTGTAACACCACTTATCTATAGCAAATTATAGCAAATTATGAATTGGCTTATTTGAGGAAATTTCACTTTTTTGTTTCTTGTTCTTCTGAGTTTGTGTCCTTATGGTTGAATGCACTTATTGTAAGTCACTTTAAGTAAAAGCGTCAGCTTTATGACATGTAATGTAATCTTGGGTTCCTCGTGACACACTCAAAGGGCTGGAGCTAATCAGTCACGGATGACATCACAGTTTTTGGTTGTTTTACCTTTATTCCTCTGCGAGCCAAACTCAAGACGTTGAACCCAAACTGTCTGAAGGTGAAACAACGGATTCTGTCTGTTGACGTCAGGCTTTCGTCCCTCACTTGGCTCCTCCTCTTCTCCTCCTTCCCCTCCTGTCTACATACGGCTCCTCCCATGTACCCCCCCACCTGCCACCTCCTCGCCTTCTTACTCCTGAGCAGATTACTCCTCAAACTCCAGGCCAGATGTTTCTCTGTTGTTATTAATGCCCAGATGTTACCATACTCTCCCATCCAGGTGTGCCGAATTAGACAGTCTCCTTGGATCAGATGAGTACCTGTAAGAGAACAAAATACCTGAACAGGTTGAGAACAGAGTACCTGAGCAGGTAGTACCAGAGCGGTTGTATAAAGAGTACCTGAACAGTTAGTATGAAGAGCACATGAACAGGTAGTACGACAAGTACTTAAACTGGTAGTATACGCGTTGTGGATTTCAGGAAGAACGCAGTACCACCGTTTTCTGGGTTCCATCATCACCCAGGACCTCAAGTAGGAGCTGAACATCAGCTCCATCACCAAGAAGGCTCAGCAGAGGTTGTTCTTCCTGAGGCAGCTGAAGAAATTCAACCTGCCAAAGGCGGTGATGATCCACTTCTACACGGCCATCATGGAGTCCATCCTCTGCTCCTCCATCAGCGTCTGGTACGCTGCAGCCACAGCCAAGGACAAGGGCCGGCTGCAGCGTGTCCTCCGCTCTGCAGAGAGGCTGATCGGCTGCAATCTGCCGTCTCACCAGGACTGGTTTGCCTCCAGGATTCTGAGGCGGGCAGGAAAGATTGTAGCCGACCCCTCTCACCTCCTGGCAGGAGGCTGCGGTCCATCAGGCCCAAGACCTCTCACCACAGAAACTTTTTGGGCTAATGGGAAAAACTTTTTTTTTTCCCATTAGCAAATGAACCAATTTCCAGTCCCTCATTGACCCAGATACTTCATCCCGGAAAGATTTGGCACAATGGTTTCTCTCAGCATGGAAATATATGGACATACATACGTGTTTTAACTTACTTATCTGTTTATATTGTTAATTCTTGCTTGAATATTTTGATTTTATTTTACTTGATCCTATTTTATTCTTATATTGCACCAATTCACCAAGTCAAATTCCTCTATGTGTAACATATGTGGTAATTAATGGCTTCTGATTCTGATTCTGAACAGGCAGTTACTCTGAAGCTCAGGTAGGAACCAGATGGTCATTCTCTCAGAGAAACGCCAAAGCTGTAATACCTGACACGTTGAATAGATTTCATACCTGTTGATTGTGGTTGTCCAGTAAGTTGTGAAGCAGGAGTCGTGATCAGTGATGTGCTCAGCTCATTGATGAGATGAGAATGTGACGGACTGACTGAGTCATACTGAGAGAGAAGAACATCCAGCTCTGGATTTATAGACAGAGGATCTATTTGAGGAAGAGAGTGAAGGACAACGAGTTGTCACCGTAGACTCAAACACACACACTGATACACACACACACACACACACTGACACACACACAGCTGCTGCTGTTAGTCAGCTGACACCAATGAGGTTCTGTGTTCTACTGACTTGTGGATAAAGTACTAAAGTAAAAATACTTCACAGTATAAAGTACAGAATATACATCTTAGATACAGTGGAGGAGAAGTAAAAAGTACTCAAGTAAAATACCTTGTACCTTGTCATGAATGACATTGTACAAATACTTTGTCAAAAGAATTTGGTGTTGGATTTGGATGTTTGTTTTTTGTTTACAGTACTACAGTATCACACTACCACAGTACCTTAGTAGTAGAGTGCCTCAGTACTACAGTACCACAGTACTACAGTATCACACTACCACAGTACCTTAGTAGTAGAGTGCCTCAGTACTACAGTACCACAGTACTACAGTATCACACTACCACAGTACCTTAGTAGTAGAGTGCCTCAGTACTACAGTACCACAGTACTACAGTGTCATAGTACTACTTCCCCAGTAGCGGTGAACGTATCACCTTCTTCAGTCCGATAAACAGTCTTCTTCATTTCTCTTTCTTTACTATGAACACAAAAAGCTATTATAATAATAATATGAACTATGTTTATGGTATTATATTAACAACATTAGTTAATTCTTACAGAGTCAGTTGTAGAAAAGAGCTGGAGTCATTATTCAGTGTCAAGATCAGATTCATTTGCGACAGTTAAATGAACTCTTTGATGGGTTTGAAATGTAACTGTACAGTGTGACACTTCTTGGTGTTTGGTTTAACTCTTCGTACTGTGGCGCATGAAGTAGGGAGGGTGGGAACCATGATGTTGGCGGTTTGAACCCTGGCTGCTCCATGTCAAAGTGTCCATGAGCAAGACACCTAGTCTCTAATTGCTTGCTGAAATGTAAAACCATGGGTTAAAAATACAATGTTAGTCGCTTTGGATAAACGTGTCAGCTAAATGACATGTAATGTATTTAACACTGGGCAGATTTATTTTTGACACTTTTCCGAGTTAAATTGTTAACACTTGGTTGAGTGTTGATTTAACGCTGACAAGATTGGGACGAAACTGGGATGAATCTCATAGAGTCAATTTAACTCTAATAATAATAACAATAATGATAACACCTCATAAAGTATTGTCGTACTTTAGTATAGAACCAGAGCAAATGTACTTTGTTAGTTTCAGAGTCAGATAGCACCACGCTGCTCTGCCAGCAGGAGGCGCTGCACTACCGACTGAGAAATACTCTGTTATAGTAAAAGCACTAAATCCACTACGTGAAAATACTTTGTTATATTTAAATCACTAATGCCATAGTCTGAAAAAAATACTCTGGTGCAGAAAAACTATTGTAAAATCTGCAAAGATAAAAACCGATCCACAAGTACTACTGTGCAGTACTTGAGTAAATGTACTCAGATACTTTGTTTAGCTCCATTATGTAAAGTGAATAAGATGGTTTTAATGTGTGTGTGTGTGTGTGTGTGTGCGTGTGTGTGTGTGTGTGTGTGTGTGTGTCTGTCTGTGTGTGTGTGTGTGTCTGTGTGTGTGTGTGTGTGTGGGGGGGGGGTTATAAGGCAGCAGCAGACCGGAGAAGGATCCCAAAACGTATCCTGTGACTCCTCGACATCCAGAAGATGAACTTTATCTTATTTCTTATTTCTTCTATGGTTCTTTGTTGTCTTCATTTCTTTCATTTCAGTTCAGCTTGAAATCCACTTTTACCACAAGTAATGTACTCTGAGTGCCCCGAAGTACACGTAGGGACGATCAAAGTACATTAAGTACATTCCATACGTATGTGGCCAGCTGAACCTGCTCTGAAGTCCCTTTGGAGGTTTTGATCTTCTGCTTTGATGCTGTGGTAGTGCTATGCTAATGTGTGTGTGCTAATGTGTCTGTGGTCTGACCCAGCTGCTCCCCTAACCCCCCCGACTCTTAACCCCCCACCCCCACCACCTCTACCAGTGAGTAGTACAAGTAGTAGTACCTTTGAAGTACAGGGGTCATGTTGTTCGGACTGAAGGAGAAAGTGACGGATGTCTTTCTGTTTACAGCTAACAGCTACAGGTGAGCTTCCAGGTGGTTCCAGGTGTGGGCAACGCTCTCCGGTTACCTGTGTGTGTGTTGTTTTCGCCTCATTAACTTCAATAACACAACAGGCCGTGTGTCCCAACACTGTGTTCACGTCCTGCTACCAAATGAACGAACGTCATATGTCACGTGACGGACTCAAATCTGACCATCGGTTCTTCTTCCGTGGTTACAACAGCGTTTCTTCTGTTCTTCTTCTGTGGTTCTAAGGCCCAATCCCAATGTCCTCCCCTGACCCCTGACCCATTATGGACACTCTGAGGTCACCTGGTCAGTGGTGGAGTGTGGAGGGCTTTAAATGGAGGGCTCCACATGCGCACACGCAGGGGAAAGGGAACCCACTGTGTGGTGTAGCTTTTCCTGCCATCTAAAGCCGAGATAATTAGGATAACCGAAGCCAAATCTTCAGCTCCATCGTGGGAACATTTGGGCTTTACTCCGGTACGGTGACTGCGGGTCCACCTCTTTGGCCCCGCGTTCCTCCCCTCCCGGGCCGGCCCATAATTTGTGATTTCTTACTAAATAAATATACTTTAATTCTATTTATTCAAACAGTGTTTCAACTCTTCTTCTTCTGTTGTTCAGTACCTTATCTGTCCTGTGGTGTGTGTGTGTGTGTGTGTGTTTGTGACATTCCTGCTGTGGTTCAGTGGCGAGGACAAAGACACAACATCCATCATGTGACTTCTCTCTCCGTCAGCAGGTAAAACCTTCACAGCAGTTTAGAAACATCTAAAAAAATATTTTAGTGTTGAGACGTTCAGTAAAACAGCAAACTATGTGTTTGTGTGTGTGTGTGTGTGTGTGTGTGTGTGTGTGTGTGTGTGTGTGTGATCGTCTTCATTCTAATCTGAAATGTTTCCATCTCTGTTTTATGATTCTGAATTAAATCTTTTAATCTGTTTGTTTCTTCTTCTGCTGAAGAATTGAAGCTCTGAATGCTTCTGTTTTAACACAGAAGAAGAGGACATGATGGTTTGAATAATTTCCTCAAACATCATTATTTACTGATTACCTTCATTATCAAGATCCAATACTAATAAAAGATAATGTAGTTATTGGTAAAGATTTTATTGGGTGTCTGTTTCAGATGCAGGACCGACACCTAGCCCCGCCCACTGGACTGTGATCGGCCAAATGTTTTCCATTGACAACCAGAGAAATCTTGTATTTTGTATTTTTTTTACCTGGAATTGTTTGTTTTAAGTGAAACATTTCATAATTTAAAATGTAACAACTTTTTTCCTGTTTGGTTTACTTTTGAAGTTAAACAAAAATATAATAATACAATTAAATTATAAACAAAAGTGTAGAATAACATGATTACTTTTTCTTTTTAAATACTTCAGTCAGGCCTCATCCACATTGTTAGACCTGGTCCAGCTTGGTCAGTCAGACCTGGTCCAACAGGTAGACACCCTTGGTGAGTCAGCATCCCCCTCCCTTACTGACTGTCTCTGGCTCTCAGGTCCGGACTCGTAGGTCTGGTTCTCGTCTCTTCAAAGATAAACTTCATTCTTCTTCACTCAACCACAAACACTTCCTGTTCTGTCAAAACAGCAAAAGAAGAAACAGCTGCCACTCCCTGGTCACAGGAAACCTCGCACTGTACCTGGTCCTGCTGCAAAAAATGAAACCTTTTGATCATTCTTTAATAAACTTTCAGGAATCAGGAATCAGGAATCAGGAAACATTTACTACCAAAATATGTCAAACATACAAGGAATTTGTCTTGGCGGTTGGTGCGACAGTAGACAGTGTGACAATAGACAACAAGACAGCGGTGCACAAGTAATACAATAAAGTAAAATTTGGACCTGGTTCTAATGTTAGACTCCAGGTCATCCATGTAATCTGTGCCAGGGCCTAAAACTGGTCTTATGAATCCTGTATCCTACCCTATCCAGACGTGGACTAGACACTAGAACTGCTCCTGGGCCTCAAATCACCGTGGTCTGGCCACCCGATAACTGACCTAGTTCAACGCGTCCATTCACACATTCAAATTAGTCTTGGTCC